ACCAAGGAAAATAAACCCAACCATATCCATTCTCTCCATTCCTAAGACTTTTCATCCCAGACAATATCCTGGTGAATCTCCTCTGCACCTTCTCCAGTGCAATCACATCCTTCTAATAGAATACTGTGTGCAATTCTGGTTGTCACACTATCTGTGGCCTAACCAATGCTCTATAAAGTTGTAACAAGACTTACTTTCTCCTGTATTCTACACCTGGCTAATGAAGGCAAGCATTCCATCTGCTGTGTTCACCACTCCATCTGCATTGTGCTGACACCTTCAGGCATCTGTATTTTTGTACACTGAGGCTCGTTTGTTCCTCAGTACTCCCTAGAGACCTACCATTCACTGTGTATATTGTTCCCTTGCTAGACCTCCCAAAATGTTTTGCCTGTAATTTATTGGGATTAAATTCTGTCTGTCTTTGATCTGCATTACCCTGGGAAATTTTCCACACTGTCTGGTAGATGCCAGTTCTGCAACAGCCTGGCCAGGGATGCAGCAAGTTCTGGGGCACAAGCCTTCCAAGATTATTGTTGGAATGCTGTCAGGACCCATCACTTTTACAATGTCCAGTGCCTGCAGCTATTTATTGATATCACGTTGAGTGAATTGAATTGGCTGAATTATAGTGTCTGTGGTCCTGGGAAATTCAGGAGGAGGCTGAGATGGATCATCCACTCAGCACTTCTGGCTGAAGGTGAATCCAAGTACTTCGCCGTTGTCTTTCGTATTAAGTTGTTAGACTCCCCCATTGTTTCTAGTGGAGATATTTGTGGAGCCACCACCCCCTGTTGTTTTAATTGTCCACCCCCATTCGCAACCAAATGAGGCAGGACTGCAGGGCTTCAATCTGCATCATTGGTTGTGGGATTTCTTAGTCCTATTTATTGTCTGGTGCTTCTGCTGCTTGCCAGTTAATCTTGTGTTGTATCTCTTTAAATGATGCATTGTTTTTAGATATGACTGGCCTGGCATACCCTCCTACATTCTTCATTAAATTAGGTTGATTTCCCCAGTTTGATGGTAGTGGAATAGTAGGGGGTGTGATGGGCCGAGAGGTCACAGATTGTGATTGAATGCGTGTTTCTGAAGATGGAGCACAGCACCGCATGGATGCCCAGTTATTAAATTTGTTCAAAGTTTGCCCTATTCAGCACAGTGGTGATGCCACCTAATGAGATAGAAGGTATCCTCAATGTGAAAACAGGACTTTGTCTCCGCAACGACTCTGTCACTCCTACCTATACTATTATGGACAAACACATTTGTGATCGGTAGATGTAGGGATTATAAAGATAAAAATACCAGACTGTTTAAATAGAGCTTAATTGCTGACAACGGTCGCGACTTTGAAGAAAGACAGAGGCGTTTGGTAATGGCAAAAATGGACTGAAGTGGACTGTAGTAGTGAATATTTGCGCACACAATCAATGTAATGTATATGTATTGTAATGTACTAATAGCATAAGATTAAATATTTTTTAAAATGAAGCCATCTTTCTACATTGATGGGTTTTTTTTTTAAGAGGGGAGGTGTTATGGTATTATGGCTTTAGGTGTATTTTGTCCTTTTTATGAAGGTTGAGACAGAGGTGCTGAGCAATTCTGCTCCACAGCCAAGAAAGTAAACAGCTTATGAGGCCTTGTTGGAACAATAGCAGCAGTCTGGATGAGTGGGGTCAAGCTCTCTCAGAACCAGGATTTTTAATTCTAGTTTTTAGTGGCAGCTGCTAGGGTCTTGAAGCTGGATGTGGAAGCTCTTATTCCTCTCTGTCACAGCTGAGAGCTAGGGGTTTTCTTCCTGCTTCTAGAATTGCATTTGAGACAATCTATTTTAATGAATTTGCCTTTGCCAAGGATGTATTTATGGGATGTTACCATATTTGAACGGTTACTGTTTGTTTAGTAGTTAAATAATCTATTATTCTGTTAAGTTTTCCAATAGAATTAAGTTA